GGAGATGTCCCAGCGAGAGTCACAGAGGGTTCCCCAGGTCCCCAGCACCTGGATCTCCACCCGCCCCGAACACGCCGTGCTGCCATTCACCAGCCTGAATCCTGTGTATTCTGGGGAAAGAGGAGAAAACTCTCCTCGGGGGCCGGTGGCGCCGCAGGGCGCCGCCTCGCGGTGTGGGGGCGGCCCCCTCCCGGGGCCGAAGTTAGGGAGCGGGGAGGCCAGGCCCCGCGGGTTGTCGTCGTTTTAGAAGTCTGCGTGCGCCTTCCTGGCGCGGTGTTCCTGCTCGTTTGGTACCGCCTTCGTCGCCGGGAAAGTCCCAGAGAGGCAAAGTTTGGGTCTAGTCACAGGCACTGCTGTGGGCCTGAAGACACTGTTTTTAATTGCACCCGCTCTTTCCAGGTGCTGTTTTCACTTCTAGCCCCAGCTGCTTGCTGCTGTTTCTACACCTGCCTTCAGATACAGATTTGGCATTTGCTTTTTGAAAGAAATCGTTAATTCAGGCTTTTCAGTTATTTCTGAAGGTGTTGTTAGTTATGTTTTCTGCACCATGTTATTGGATGAGCGTGCCGATGCTTTTTGAAGTAACCCTGTTTTATAAGGACCAGGAGCCAGGGCTTGTTTTACATGGGCATGCATTCTTAAGGGAGAAAGGGGCTTTTTTGATCTTCTAGTCTACTTACTACTTGGAGAAAAGCATAAGACTGTCCTTTGTTATGATTTTCGGTACAGTAACTGGTTGAATACATCTTAGGTAGCAGTGCGGATGTTTTCCCTTTTTGTGTAGAGTTCTCTGCAACAAACTGTCTTACTTTCTAGAGTTTTTGTCTCTGAGCCTGTGTGACTGAAATTGCTGGACTTTTCAGCGGATTGGAAAGCAGAGATGGAGAAAAAGGGCATTCATCTCTCCTGTGATCTGAGTGTTCAGCATTCATATTTTTTAACAATGCTGAGTTGAATAAAACATCAAAGCAGAAGGCGAAACAGATGCTAGGCACTTTCTCCTAATCATTGTGTTGAGATCTGTCTTTTTAAAACACTTTGAAGGCTTCTGGTAGTTTTTGCATGGTGAAGCGTAGCTTGAGCTCTGGTTAAGTTTTGTCAGTGTAGCTGAGAAAATGTGGAGAAAGTCACTTTTACATGTGGGAAGTAGGGATAAACTACTGATAACATAGCTATGTCCCAAAAAAACCCTCCGGTGTGATGTTGTTTTGATTGGGGACTGCTGCTTAGTTGTTCTGATTGGTTTTACATGGGGTGCTCTTAGCGATGCTAGGAAATAGTACTATTGCTAATTCCTATGAAGATGCCACTTAATATGATTCTACAAGTATAACTTTATTAGGAAAGCAGAGCTTATTTAGACCTGCTTTTAAATTTTTTTTTCACTATGTGAAAGATACTCTTCTTCCTACTCACAAGGAAAAACACATTTCTCACATAAAGAACTGTGAAATACAGTAAATAAACCAAAAATAGAGGAGACAGATGGGTATCTCTTCTTTGTGGCCTATCTTGGCTACACTCTGAAATGTTATGTAACAAAAGTAATGTATTCTAACTTGTTAGAATTCTTTTTAGTAATATTTCAAGTGTGCAATGGTACAAAAAACATACTAGAAGGAAAGACATTTGCTAAGGTAGACCTAATAACTGTTCTTACTATTATTCAGTAAGTATAATTGTGAGCTTGATCCATTTCTGACAGGTTAATTCTTCTGTCCTAAACTTCACAAAAGTTATGAAACGTTCTTTCATACTACACTTTCTCTGGAGTTTCAGTTACTTAAAGTGCTATTTTATTCGTGGCTCTAATACTAGTGACAGTAGGTGAGTCATTTCGCTACTTCTGCCTTCTATTTCTCATTTGTAATCATGCAAGGGGGATCATTAAAATACTTTGAGATTTGCTGATGATGAGTGTTATATAGGAGTTATATGATGTTATTAGACAAAGCAGTAAAAAACACAAGAAGGCCAATGGAATCATTGATCTGCCAGATTTTTACCAAACTCTTGTTTGTCTTTGGGCTTTTTATTTTTTATTACTTTTTCACCCTTTATTCCCTTTCTTTATACAGATCTCATGAAATCTGAATAGTGACATCTGTAGCTTAAATTCTAAATGCCCCTGCGTAGTAGCCTTGTTCTGAAGATATGTCTTCTCTATCTGTTGCGATACAACAATGCAATCAGTTTTTCTCCCTTCTTTTTTCACAGAAGACAGGTCTTTGCCACTTGCTGTACTTATATCTTTGGGTGAACTGTATATACCATTTCTTTCATTCTGTGTGTAAATCCCTGGGTTGCTGTTGGTGATGTTTTCCTTGGCTGTTATAAGCATCAGCTGTCAGCAACATCTTGGTGTTTTTTGCTCTGTACTTGCTGTTGCTTTTGAGAGCAAGCCTCATGACATGAAAATTAGTCTTCTCTGACTGTCAGCAGTGAGGGAAGTAGCGTTTGCTGGGTCTACAGCCGTCTGGCTGTGCTGATGCCATAGGTAGTTTACATCCATGCCATCAAGAACGATGAACTTGGTGGTCAGAGCCACAGCTCTGTTTTTTCCGCGCTCCATCTACGCTGCAGGGGGGGAAGGTCAGAAACTACCCAGTTTTCCTTCTGTGTTGCTGTGTGGAATGTGGCTAGTATATAACAAAGAATGCTGTGCTATGTAAACAGTCCTATGAGTTGTTTGTAAAGAGTATTTTTAAAAAGTTTAGTAATTCAAGTATATTTAAATTGGAGTGCCTGACCACATAATATACAGTATTTTCTGGTATTTTAAGTTTTCTGTTGAATACTTTTAATGTTTATCTTCATTTTCATTTCAGGATGATACAGAAGAAAATTCCAATGATGGTAGCCAGCCATCGAAAAGACGACGTATGGGCTCAGGGGACAGTTCTCGGAGCTGTGAAACTTCTAGTCAGGACCTTGGGTAATATTATTTTTTAGAATTTCAACATTTTTTATTGCTAGTCTTGTGATATTGTTCGATATGCTCAGGCATTACCTCTTCTACTCTTTTTGCTTGTGTATTCTTCATATATTTTTCTGAACTGAGGAAATGTCCTGCGAGTAATTTTTTTTCCCAGCACATTTTAAGAGATTTCATTTTAAAACTGTGCAAAATGTGCTGCAGTTTAGTTTACAATTAAAATGACAGCTTCTTTTACTTTTAAAATGCTACATATTTTTGGTGTGAATTTTAACACAGTAGTGCTTGCTCTTCCTGTTTTCTCATGTTCTCCCCTAGCATGGATATCCCTTTCGTCTTGTGCCGTCCCTTGACATGTTGATGAATGCTGGTTTGGGGAAAATATATGTGAAGTGGGGTGTAACTGAATCGGTTTGAAATCGTTTAGCAGGATGCTGTATTTTCAAAGGCTTGACCAGATTTTGATAGGAGTTTGTTCACATAAACAGGAATTAATTGGGCTCTCTCGGGTTCTTTTGATTTTTTTTTTTTTTTTGTCGTTGCTGTGCTTAGATTTAGTTACTTTCCTGCTTCTGAAAATTTGATAGAATACAAGTGGCCACCAGATGAAACAGGAGAATATTATATGCTTCAGGAACAAGTCAGTGAATATTTGGGTGTGACTTCTTTTAAAAGAAAATATCCAGGTATGCCTGTTTTTAAAAGTTGTTTTTTTTTTCTAAATATTTATATCTTTATGTGTTTGAAACAGTAATGTGAGTCTTTTTGACTTCAGCATTAGGCAATTGATTATAAAAGATGTTGGCAAAAATAGATTTAAGTTATGCATGTTATACTTTCTATTTTTGTTACTAACATATTAGTTGAAAATGTCTCCTGCAATTTCTGAAGCAACTGAAGGCTTTTGAATATTACTGCAGAAAATCTGTAAAAAGTCTGATTTAGGGGTTAGAAGAACAAGAGGGTTTTGAAAACTTTCCTCAATTTTTGTTTTTAGGTATTTCATTGGTAATTTCTTGTTCTGCTGCTAAATCTCTGCATGCTGTTTCCTGAATTGCATCACACTTTCTATATTATGGAAGAATTTAAAAATGAATTAGGGAGGTATTAGGATTTAAGCCTTCATTTATTCAGAATTGACAAATCTTGTTCTTCTGCTGTCATTGAATTTATTTTTAAAAGGCATATTAAAAGAAACAAAGAATGCACCTTCAGTGCTTTTCTGTGTTCTGTGCAGCTGAGCTCTTTTGGCATTTCCGTTACCATTAGGTTTCTACAGTGAATTTGTAAATAATAATTATAGGCAGAGTAGCCTAAAACATTGGCCATGTCCTTAGAATGTATATTAAATTTAAAAGAAACTTATACAATTACCATGTTTATAGGAATAGTAATATAATATAGACTTACACTACCTGGAGATAAAATAGTCAAAATACTTCTACTTTCTGTGATAGATGTTGTTATGGGGGGGGTTGAGTAAATTTGCACGTTGTAATTTTTTTTGTTGTTTCCTTTGGAGATTTAGAAAGGCGAGATCTATCTCACAAGGAGAAACTCTACCTCAGAGAACTAAATGTTATCACAGAGACTCAGTGCACATTAGGTAAGAAAACAAGTTCTTAGAACCCTTGTTACACTATTAAAAGTATGACCTACTGATAACGTGATTCAGTTTGGTAGAGTAGAATTGTGTCATCCTGAACTGAAAACTTACATTCTGAAATGAAAATTGGTTTGTGTAAATTGACCATGAGATATTGCTATTATACGTTTATTAATAAACCAAAAAATGGGATCTATTCTAATGATTTAACACAATCCTTTCTATGTTGTGAATTAACTTAGTACCTTTTTCTCTTTGTGAAAAAGGGAACAGTGTGACACTTCAAACTAAAAAGTACGTGTTAGTCTTGTTTTGCTGAGTGAGCTAGGACTCAGCAAACATTGAAGTAGCATATAGGGGTCATCCTGTGTGTTAGTTTAGAACAGTGTAGGTTAAAGCACTTAAATGTATTCGTAACATAATAATGTCCTTGATATGATTTATATCGAAATAACTTAAAATATTTTTTTTCCTCTGCCAATACATATGACTTGGAGCTTGTTACAGATCAAATGATGCCTAGCATTTTTTTTTCTGTACATCATGGATCTGTGCAAATTTTATATCATTTTCTACCTCAAGAATAGTCCTTAGTACACTGACTTTTGCTCCCACTGCATGGCCTCTTTATTTTTGTACTTAAATATACAGGAAAAAAGAATATCTAATTTTTATTACAGAAACAAAACACAATTTCACATAACATATACAGTGAAGGTATATGCTGCATTAACTGTCTGTATTTTTTAACGTTGTCATTGTAATCAGTGGGAGTAACGTAAGTCAACCTCCACTGTATTGTCAGTGATTGGAGATTAGTTGTGTTGGAAACTTTTTTTTTTTTTTCAATAGGAGTTCTATATTGTAGTTGCGAACTGAGGCATTCATGTCTGAGGCTTTTCAGACTTCTGAACTTTACCTTCATTAAGAGCCAGAGGTCTCTATGCAGTTTCATGTTCTGAATTGCCCTGACAGTGCGAATATAGGTTTGTATAGAAAACATAACCTCCTAATTCAATTTTTTACAAGTGAATTTAATGTACAGTTCACCAAGACTAGAAGGAGAGTTCTTGCTTACTTTCTCCTACCTATCATGCTTTTCAAACTCGTTAATAAATTCATTTCACTTACTGAGATAACATAAAACTCCTCGGCAAAAAACAGCGTACTTCTGTACCATTTTAGTGAGTTAAATTGACTCACAGAGGTGACTAGTAGGTGCCAGAATCAATGTGAAGGTGGAAATTGGATTCTGTAACTGTAAGCAAGAAAGAAATGAGCCCTTCCTCTTTGGGTAGAAGCAAACACTTAATCAGCCTGAGTCACTGAAAGATAAATGGCACAAGTTCACTGCTGCTTGAGAGAGGGAGGGAGGGAGTGAGAGAGAAGCACAGTGTATAGCAGACTGTCATCTTTGGCTGCTCAAAAAATTTAGTCGATTATTGTAGGAGATAACTAACCTACAGTTAGTTTTGCCAGATAACATCACTATTGCTTTTGTCTGTCTTAGGTCTAACAGCTTTGCGTAGTGATGAAGTAATTGATCTTATGATTAAGGAATACCCTGCCAAACATGCTGAGTATTCTGTTATACTGCAAGAGAAAGAACGTCAGCGAATAACAGACCATTATAAAGAATACTCTGTAAGTAACTAGTATATGTTAAATGAATCAGAGCTGTAATGTGAACTATAAGAAAAAAGGACTTGCAAAAGGATATTGAAAGGTGTGTGAATTAATGAAATTGTTTTTATTTCAGCAAATGCAGCAGCAGAATACACAGAAAGTAGAAGCTAGTAAAGTTCCAGAATATATAAAAAAAGCTGCCAAGAAAGCTGCAGAATTCAACAGTAATTTAAACCGGGAACGAATGGAAGAAAGAAGAGCCTATTTTGACTTACAGACACATGTAGGAAGATTTAAATTTCTAATCAATGTCAGTAGGTAGCTCCTTGCTTGTTCTAGTAAAGGTGGTATTTTTTTCTACCATTCTGTCTTGCCATAAAGAATTTTTCATTACTCTTTTTCCAGATACGATGCATTTTGATATAGAGACTTAAACAGTTTTACCATTAAATTGGTAAAGCTGCTAAAAATAATAATCTCAAATATATTTCATGTGAAAACTTTTTTTTTTAATTGAATGTACTTCTGTGTGAGGAAGCTTTTAAAATTCCGGTGTTATTTTTTTGTCATGTCTCTTAACCTGCTGATAGTAGCATAAAAATAAGGGGGATGTTTAAGTTACTAAGAAGCTTCTGTTGATCTTATTTCTAATACAAAAATAATGGAACACCTAATGAAAATAAGGGCATAGAAAATTGACAGAGAGCACCCTTAGATAATATATAGTTTACTTTGGACCTCAAGGTATTGCTTAGGCAAAATTGTAGAAGTGTTGCAAAAAAACCTAGGCATTTATATGAAAACAAATACGTTTCATGCTTCTGCTATGCATGATTAAAAATATATATATATTTGGTTGCATTTTGAAACAAGACTGCACTGCTTACCTGAAGATAATAAATAAAGCAAATAATTTCTCTGTATGTGAATTATTATATGGCAGTCTGTTATGGAGAGTTTACATTTTTCTGATAGTGGCCCCTGCTGGAAACACGATAGTGGATAGTTAGCTTGATTTCTTTCTAAAGGAAAAAAAAAAAAAACTTCCAGAGGGTTCTTTTCCATATATTCATCTTACTGATTGGATTTTTTTTTTTTTGATAGTACAGGTAAGTTTCAGAATTATATCCCAAAGTTCTTGCTATGCTCCACAAATATGCAACACAATAATAATTCATTTTAAAGACACCTATCATGAAAGCTAAAGTATTCTGTTGAGCTGTTAGTTTTTAATTTTTAAGTTATTTAACCTATTATCCTGTTAGAAGTAGTCTTATGTGATATTAGTTTGGTTCATAGACACTTACTGATTGGATTTAATCTGGACTATTATTTTGTGAGTGGGAGCTCTTATAGTTTTAATGAATTGGATTGCCCATGGGAGAACTCGGATAGCTGTTCCAACTTAAAAAAAAAGTTGGGGGGGAGAGACTTGCTAGTTCAAAAATATTTGGGGGGGGTGAGGAAGGCTCAAAAGTTTGTATGGGAAACAAAAACTTCATTGCTTTGTATTAAACAATACAGATTATCCAGGTGCCTCAAGGAAAATACAAAATCTTACCTACAGAGAGAACAAAGGTTAGTCCCTATCCAGTGGCTCTCATACCCGGCCAGTTCCAGGAGTACTACAAAAGGTATTTTAAAAGCATCCTAACTGCTGATTCTGGTTGCACTGATCTATTTTTCTCTGCATCTAACTGATGAAAAGCATATGAGTGTATTTACTGTAAGTTTTTGAATTAATTTTATGCTTGAGGCACTTGCTAGTCTAAGAGATGTCAAATGTGACATCTTCCTGCAACAAAACAGATGTAGTATTGGCTGCAGCAGTATTTTTTCTCCACTGTATTATGGTGTTTCAGACTTGGCCTGCTCAGATGTTTACTGTGGTGAAAGGAGACAATGATTTCACTACTGCTTACCTCGTGTGTTCAGTTAGCTTCCGCTTCTGCATGCGTGCTAAGATTAATGTCGCTGCGTCAAAATGTTGTAATGCAAGCTTGTGATCAGATGATTTCTATGTGACAGTCTTGCTGTCTTTTTTTTTTTTTTTAACTTTTATAAAAGCTTTTAACTTCAAAAAAACTAGTTTTGATTGGTCTTGTGAGTTGGATTTATAGGTAAGAGAGAAAAGGTATTGCAGTTGGATCTTTATACTTCACAAAATATGTATACATGGCTGTATACATAAATTTAAAACTTTACCCTATGGCATGCTCCCATTTTACAGGTACCTGCTGATTTAAAAATTATTGTTTAAGTTTTGCCATCCGTACAACAGAGGTGATACTCAGCCTATACATGCACAGTTTTCTTTAGAGGAGAACCTTTTCATCTGCGTCTGCCTTTTTTACTCTGATGTGTACGTACAAAACCCCCTTAATGTGCATGTTACAGGAAGTTCAGAAGCATTTCAATATTATTACATTAATTGAATTTAAAATATTAGATGTCTTGTTTATTCTCTACTTACAAGCTTGTGTGAAACTGCTCATCCTTTTGAGTGGAGAACACAGGCTTTCAAAACGTGCATCAAAATAACATCCCGCTTGTTACAATGTTTGTCTCTAATAGCAGAAGAACTTGCACTTTTTAATTAGTATCAAAGGACAAAAAAATGTGTAGAGCACATGTGTGTCTGGCTATAAGCAACATTATTAGATCTTGATCTTCTTCTATAATTATATTTTTATTTGCACTTTTTGTTCTTCAGAAATCAGGACATAAATCTATAGTCTGTACTTATTTTGCTTTAGACCCTAGCTGTTTGTGTACCTAGGTTAACACTGTTGTGCACATGCTATGTGGGTACTGCACGTTTATAAACAAAGTGTACAGTCTCTTGGTCGTAGCAACATGGGTTGATAGAAGGTTTGTAGGGTTTGAGTGACCTTTTATGATTATGTAGGTGTGAAACATTGCAAGCATATTCTTCCTGTGTTCCACAAATACCTGCCTACACAAAGACAACTAATACTAGTTAGGCAAATGTTCATGAGGAGAAATGAGTGTTTCCTACATTTTCAGAATTGTGCTTGGTTTTTATGGGCCTTCTTGAAAAAGGAAGCTGGAATGATCCACATTTCTTACTCTTTTTCTCTGAACTGCTTGTGTTCTGTGTCTATAGTGTATGTCTATGCAAGTTTAATAAAATGCACAGGCATTTGTTTCATTTGGGTTTGTTTAACTTTAGATACTCTCCAGATGAGCTTCGTTACTTGCCGTTGAACACAGCTCTTTATGAACCCCCTTTGGATCCAGAGCTGCCTGCGTTAGACAGTGATGGAGACTCAGATGATGCAGAGGAAGGTCGAGGTGATGAAAAACGGAAAACCAAAGGCAATTCGGTGAGACAAATTGAAAGTATTCTTCAACAAAAATACCCTTTTCTCTTCACTTTTTAAGTTTCAGTAATTTCATAGTAAAATCTTTAACATCTGCAAAATGAAGGAGAATCATAAAATAAAAGTACTCCCTCTTTATAGTGCTTCTCTTTATTTTACAATGCTGCTCTCCAACTTTCCATTTTAAGTAATCTAAAGCAAATCAAACAAATATTTGACATCAAGCCCTCTCTTCCCTGTTTTTGAAGAAACTTTGAAGAATCTTCCCAACTGCAGCTCTTCTGATACACCTTTTCTACCAGGTGATGGGACAGGTTGCTAACATTTCTGAGCAGAGAGATCTGTAGTTCCACAGAATCTATTGCTAAAGCAAAGGAAGTGATTCCCTGATAACTTTTTCTTCTTGTAATGTAGAAGCAGGAAATACTCAGAACAGAAACAGTTACTTTATTATATTCTAAAGAAAAAGTAAAAGCACTCTGATCTTTGCTTTAGAGTACAACTTTAACAAGATATGTATGTTCTCTATATTGTATGCAAACACAAAATTAACTGTTTCTGGAAATTAAGGGAAAGTTTCATATACCTCCTGGATAGTGTTCTGAGTGCTCTAGAGCAGCTGAGCCTCAGAGGGACTGTGAAGTATAATTGAAGTATTGGTATAGTTAATATTTGGTTGACTGCCACCTTCCAGAAGTTTAATCCCATTCTTGTGATTTTACATTCGTTTTTTCCTAATTTCTAGTTCAATTGACTAGTATTTTAGGTGGTAGGTACATATAATGTTAAATTTAGCTGTATAAATGTTTATTTTGTTTAAGTATTCGCAAGATGTTTGTAACTGAGGTGAAGGGATCACTTTGGCAGGCTAACCAAGGGAGAAGCAGCTGGGTGGGGGGGGGGAAAAGCCTAACATGCTAAATGTCAGCACAAATCTTTGACTTATTCTCACTCTAGCTGTGTTACAGTTGGTCTTCAGGCCATTTCTGCCCGGTTCCTTTTTCTGTTGGCTTCTGTTCCCCTTAATGGTGAAGAGAAGTAACTAGACTGAGCAGACTGTCCTTTCCTTTTCCACAGACGTTCTGAAGGTGTTTTAGTGACAGAACGTAGAAGCCAAAACCATTGTGCTTGTGTTGGGAAGGTACAGGGAAAAACTGAAGATGATATTCCTATGAAGTGGCTTTGGCTACAGAAGCAGGGGTTCTCCATGTAGTCACTGGGGCATATTGTTTGGGGAAAAAAAATCTATTGACCACAAAGGTGGCCAGCTGTAATTGTGTCAGGCACTGCCTGCTTCTGAGTTTTGGGGTGCCTACTGTTCTTCAGATCTCCCTGGTGAGTCCAACTGTACACCTTTTCCTTTTCCCCTTGTTGTTGAAGCCAGGTAGCAGTTTTCCTGTTCCATTAGTGTTTTAACGGACCTATGCTAAACAACCGTTCCCCTAAAATAAGTGAACCATAGCATTTCTTGTTGCCACAGTTTGCTTTGCTTTTGTGTTATACTCCTCCCTGTGCCCTGTTTGTTTTGTCTATTTTGATTTTAGGCTCTGGGACGTAGGCTGATTACTTTTATATTTGTACAGAGTGCCTTTTACTGTAGGCACCGTTGTTATTGGACCTTTTG